AATAATAATAAAATAAATAATAAGATACAATATCGGAATAATAACTAATAAAATAATAAACTGTTCTATAACAATGCTTTAAATCTGCTCAAAGCAAATATGCTTTAAATCTGCTCAAAGCAAATATGCTTTTAAATGCTCCTTAAAGCAATATGCTTTTAACACTGCTTAAAACTTGCTTTAAATATGCTTCTAAATTTGATGCAAAAATGCAATACATGATTTATAAGTTATATATTAAATAATTCTTCTATGTACTATACGTACATATATGAATACAAAATATATCAATTTACTAATTAGTCTGAACTTAAACTTTACATTACCTTATGCATGAGTCCTCTATCAAGGTTTAACTATGAACGAACCAATTTTATATTTGTAATCAATTAAAAAAAAAATCTATACGAACTTTGATATGTTTAAAAATATAAAGCCTGTAGCAAGTTTCTAATTTTAATATTTATTGTAACTTTATTCAAGTAAGATATAAAATTTCTAACTTTTCAAATCTATTTGATAGCCAGAATTCGTAATGGCTAGCGGTGCCAACTTAATTACTAAAATAATTTTTTTACAGAATATTGTTTCGCAATATTGATATATCATAAGTACTTGTTATTGAATATATAGTCTAAATAGCTTTTTATAATATAGCTTTTTAGCCGATAATAGTTAAATATGCAAAAATAAATTTTTTTTATTTTAGTTGCTATAATTTAATTAAGTCAGTATTGCTAGTAATGTCACTAACTTTTGCTTGTATAACGAACTGTAAATTATATATCTAGAGAGAAAGTATATTTTTTCCTAGTTCATTTTCCTGTAAGTTCCCAATTTTGCTATAGTTTTATACTATAAAATGTTTAGGCTCAAAGTTATCTCTGAAAGATACCAATTTTTGGAATTCTGAAGCACCCATTGCATTCATTGAATTAAAAAATAAATAACTTAAATTTTATTATAACAATCGAAATCTGACATTAAGTTATACAAGAAACTTGCTGACCACAATCTGAACTTATAAAATCTAGGCTCTATGAGCTTTGTTAGGAAGTATACTTGCAGAATCATATGCATATATGTACGTGCAATGTTTCTAATAAAGCTAGCATTATCTTATAGTGAGCATGTACAAATGCACATATGTGTAATTAGAATATAAGATCAAAAACTCATGACCAAATCAACATCTTAAAAAGTGGATCTGGAATTGGTCATAATTATATTTGACGGTAGTGGTAAATTACCGAATTGCAGTATTATAGTATATGGTATAGCATAGCCTTTTGAATACCACAAAAGCCACATGCTACATGCCATATTACTATATTGCCGCTTTATCAAGCACTCGGAAAACATGTACTAGACTAGTGTACAAGTGTCTGGATAGGCATTTGATTCTAAATCAGATCGATTTTTGATTTGATAAAATTCAAAAATAATAATGAATTATTTCTTACCATAAAAATATACTTATTTCACAAAATTTCTATTATGAAAAACTTAGATCTACTATTTACTATTGACCACTGCTTATATACTATATAAAATACTTCTCCAAAGAATTAGTAAGCGTACAAATATTATCTAATAATTAACAATAATATTTTTGAATAGTAAATAGTAATTGAGATTTATAATTTATCACCAAAGCGATGCATCGCTACTTATAATTAGTAATATAATGATTACTAATCATAAGCAGAGTTCGAATATTGGATCCCCGATTATTATAGGCTGATCAGAGAGTAGCGATACATCGCTATAGTGATAAATTATAAAATTCGTAGTAATTAACAGTAAGTAAATATGGCATTGCGGTAATATGCCATTATGGCAATTTAGTTCGCGGGTTTTTTTTCAACAAAAAAAACGCGTCATTTCTGCAGCTGCATCAATTCTACTAATCAATTCTACCCGTCATTATAGCAAATAAAGGTAAAGAACAAATTTTATTAGTTTTGAATACTTAAGAAAAAAATTGCTTAGAGATCAGAATAAGATAAATAAAATATATTCCGTCGTATAGCTAAAGCCTCAAATATAAGGTATTAATCAAAGATCAAAGAGTTGATTAGATAGATAGAAGACGTTATAATAGTTATAAAATGTATATAAAATATGAAAAGAAATTATGGAGTTAATAAAACTACCTTACTATTGAGTTAGAAATAACTTAATAGTGTTTTCGTCTAAAAATAAGTTTCATAAATCTTAAATATAATAAATAAATATGAGTGAAAAACAAGATCATTATGATACTGACAATACAGACATTTTAGAGCCAAGTATAGAAGAAAACAATGCATGGTTTGAAGAAAATTATAATGAATTTGAATCATTTGACGAAAATACGTTCGAATATGAAGAAAATGTTATCGAGCCTGAAGTATTTGAGGAAACATCATCATATGTAACTTCACTACGTTCTTCAAGTCCTATAAATGTTGTTTCATCAGTATTATCTAAAACAACAGAGAAACCACCAAAGCGACGAAAGACAGACACTATTTGGAGTGTAATAGACGAAGATGATAACAAACGATATTGTAAAATTTGCCGAACTGAATATTCAATGGACACAGGAATTACTACAATTAAATCTCATTTTAAAACCAAACATCCAAAAGATTGGAATAGCTTGTTTGTACAAACAGTATTAGATTTCCCAACATCGTGCCTTATGGTAAAAAAGATGAAAAAAAAGTTGTGCACCTTTTAAATCTTCTTGTTCGGTGGATAATTACTGACCAACAAGCGTTTTCTGTTGTTGAGAATGATGATTTTTGTGCATTTATTTCGGCATTAGATCGACGGTTTTGTCTTCCTACACGGCAAGAAATTTCTTTAAGTATTACAAAACTTTATAGTCAAAAACAAGAAGCATTACGTACCTTTTTTACAACAACACAACAACGATTCGCAATCACCACTGATGCATGGACCTCATGTGTAAATCTTGGGTATCTTGCTGTTACCCTGCATTGGATTGATAAAAATTGGAAATTAAATAAAATTTTGTTAGACATGGTGCCGCTTTATGAGCGGCATACTGGAAAATATATTGCAGAAAAAGTTCTTGAAACGGTTTCTTATTATAATATTGATGGTCGAATTCTTGCTGCAACAACTGACAATGCAAGTAGTATAGATGTATTTGGTCGTATTTTTGGCCAAATGCTTAAGGATAAATTTAATAATTGTGACTTTGAACGGGTTGGTTGTGCAGCGCATGTATTGAATCTTGCGGTTAATAGTGGTATGCAAGTTGTTAATAGCTCAATTTCTAAACTGCGTAGTTTTACTAGCTATATTCGTAAATCTCAACCTATTTTTGAAGAGCTTAAAAAAATTTTTGAAATGAAAGGAAAGCCCTTTTTAGTACCGGATTTAGACATGTCAACGCGTTGGAATAGCACGTATAAAATGATCGAAAAGCTAAATAGAATACGTGAAATGACCAATATTTTAGTTGCGGGTAATCCTACATTAAAAGAAAAGTATCTAAATGAAGAAGATTGGGTTAAAATTAATGTAAGTATTACTACTTATTTGTAATAAAATATTGAATATTTAACTTATCTTTTTTTCTTAAACTTTTGAGGCAATTGCTACGCTCCTTGAACCTATCAAACATGTCTTTTATCCACAGCAACTTATCCTACAATGGGCGACTTGCATACAACGTTTCCTGTAATTATTAACCTTCTAAGCGACGCGCTTAATGATGATAATATGATATCATCAAAAAGACAAATCGTACAAAAAATGCATACAAAACTTCTTGATTATTGGATTAAATTAAAAAAACAATGCTATGTATCTGTCATTCTTGATCCAAGTCTGAAATTGTCCTCATTTGCTATAGATGATGTCCCAATGATTCAAAGAACTATACGTAATGTTTATGAAAAGTATCAAAATACAGAAACAAATACTAATTCTTCTAATTTTGAAGATTCTAATAATCCTTCTAGATTGTACTTTAAAAAACACACTTACAGCTACCAGAAATGATGGGCATGAACGTGATATTCTTGACGAGTATCTTTCTTCCGCTGAAGAAGACTGTGATATATTGGAATTTTGGAAGATGCGGTCAACTAATGTGCGTTACGCTACACTTACACAAATGGCAAAAGATTATCTGGTCGTACAAGCGACAAGTGTATCAAGTGAACAGATATTTTCCGTGGCCAAGCATACAATTAGTCTAACTCGTAATCGATTATCTCCAAAAAATGTTCGTGCAAGTCTTTGCTTAAAGTCATGGTATAAATTAGAAATTATGA